AAATTCTGATTTTACAAATACAAAGGTGATAGGCGGGTAGACATCAACGCAGTTTAAGCTTTACTGGAAATGATTTTTCACTATCAAATATTTTTCTTCTTGAATAAGAGAAGTTTTTATATATTTTATTGTAGCTATTAAGACTAAACTTGATGAATTTCTTTGTTAAAAACTTCCCACAACTCTTATGATCATGTCAATGGTATTGAATACAAAATGTCTTCTTTTTAATATTTGGTTTTTTTTTTAAATTCACAATTACTTTTCTTAATTAATTTCCGTAAACACTTTTACTTTTTATTGAACGCATCTCATTCGTAAAAACGTTTAGCGGATTGCCATCCTTCAGTTGGCCATTTCCCATTAAGCCAACATTAATATTGATTCTTTAGAAATGTAAAAGACTACAAACTCTGTGTATTAGATGGAAATAGTTCAAAGAACAATACAATGTCAAAATATTTCAGTGAACACTGTTACTTAACGCGTTTTCTTTGAAGCTTTGGAAATGAAGGAAACAAAAATGAAAGAAGAAAGAAAAACCACGCAGACGATAAGTTCTATTTCACTTACGTCATTAACACGCCTTTTATCGGAAATAAAAAGCCATGTATACTTCGAACAAAATATTACTACGTTATTTCAAATTGAAAGAGGTATCATGGCCACTTTTGTGTTTGTTTCAATCATTGAGTCAATACCTATACCGAAAGATGACGAGATCTATTGGAATTAAGGAAGAAGCATCATATTTGATCTTTTTATCAGTTTTACAGATATCTTTAAAACCGAAATGCTTTAACCAAATTATCGCTAATGAAAACCATATTTATTGAATAGATAAATTAATAAGAAGACAGATAAATAAATAAAAAGAAAGATAAATAAATAAATAAATAAAAAGACAAATAAATAAATAAAAACATATTTGAATTAATCAATAATAAGAAAAAAATGAATCCAAGATGGCAATGCAAAATCCTATTCGTAGAAGAACCGACAACACTAAGCATGACCAAAAGAATATAAAGATGAAAAGACAGACAACAGTCCAGAAACACTACATAGAAATCTGAAACAGAATGAGCAGCACAAACCCCGCCAAAAACAGAACTGAACAGAAGATCATCGACAGGGTAAGCTTATCCTACTCCATTTGTGGCACCCTCGTGTTTAGATCTGGTGTTAAGGTAAAGTTACATTAAATTGATCATGTCACAGCTGCGGTATGTAAACCTGAACTGAAAATTTAGTAAAATACATTTATTTCTTTTTATTTTCTGAAATATTAATGAATGAATTCTTTCAAAATAGGTGAACATTTGTATATAGAAAGCACATAAAGTTGGCGAAAACCGTTCTTTAATTTATCAAAAAATCTCTAAAAGCAATACCTAGATTTTTCATCATAATTAACATGTTGTTCATTCATAAATTTCAGTTTGATGACTATAAAAATAATCATAGGGTCGTCGCTTTCGTTTTTGATGTATTAACCAATCTGTTATCTAGAAGGTAGTAAAACACGCCAAAAATTAACGTTTTACTGTTTATTACGCGACGACATTGCGCTTATTTCGACGTTTTGTGGTATTGTTTAACCTAGATAACCACTTTGGTGTATAGTCTTTGACCCTGTTATTATTTTACATTATTAACACGAAAATTTATGTATCATCGACATATCAATTTTTAAGAAAAATCTTTACATTGGTAAATGGAGATTACAAAACAAATTAAAGAACATTTTCGCCGTTTTGTTGTACATTCTATACAAATGTACATTTATTTTTCAGAAAATAAAAGTAATAAATGCATCGGTTTTTTTTCGATTTTCAGTTATAGTTTACTAATTTCTGTGACATAGACCATTCACTGTATCTTTTACCTAAATTTCCATTGTCATCTTAGACGCAGATATGTTACGACTAACATAGTCATATTATATTATGTTACATGGTTTTGTAAAACAAATGACATTGAAATAAGACAATGAGAGAATACAGTGTTATACTATAAGGATAGAATTTTGATTTTGATGACTTATATGCTTTGGTATCTTTCGCCTCTCTTTTATATACTGTATATCTATTAGATTTGGTGTCTTGCTTAATTCTGTCGAAATTGCAGTTTTCAGCAATTTATACTCATGTTTATATAATTAGATTTGACGCTGTCTGTACCTCAATCTTAACACATGCAGTCACAATATCGTCAAGATTACTAAACATTCCAAAGCATGAGTACGGTATCGACAATTTCAATTTGATACATTTTGATGGCGTTTCTCTTACATGTAACAATGCATCAAACCATATTTACAGGAAAGTCGCAATCTCATGTAAATTCTAAATTGAATTCTCTCAAACTGCCATGGGAAAATCCAGAAACAGTATGTTCCCTCGAGATATATTTTTGATATACATACATCTCAAAAGTAAGAACATAGACCTGTTATCATTTTCCATAATTTCGATATGTTGTATATTACTTAACGAAAAAATTGAATTATATAAAAGATTGTTATTTAGATTATTGGTAGCAAAGACATATCAAATGTTGCTACTATAAATTATCCGTTTTTCTCAAGCAATAGTGCAAAATATCACAACCACAACATAACTTTAAAAGTTGACTGCTAAAAAAGACGGTCACCCAAGTAGTTCAGCTATTCGGCAGTAAAACCTTTGCTAAAGTAGGGCGTCCATTTTAGTGCGCGGGATGTATAAATACACAGTCATGTCAGGTCGAAAAAGGGACATTTTAAAAATCCGATACCCGATGCCTCGTATTAAAGGGGTATGGTGTCATGCTCTCTACATGTTAATGAACTCTTGCAACAACACTCTTATGGGTCCGTAGGGGGCCTGTTGCAAGGTAATGTTTCTGCCCTATCCAATATCCCCTCATTTCTAGTGGCATTTCAAATTTCTCACTTTCATCCCTGAAGAACCTATCTTTATCTGAATTGTTAATTTGTTATCGTCATGAATATTTTATCACTGGACATTAAGCGAGCAAATTTAAATCACAGCCACAACATGAAGTGCAGAAATAAAAAATAAATATTAATATATAATTTAGGATTCATTTCATGACTTATAGTATAATTTAGGATTTTTTAATGACTATTTGTAAAATTTTTGGTTATGTCATGACTATTTGTAAAATTTCGGATTGATGTCAGGACTTTTTGTATAATTTTAGGTGTATGTCATGACTTACTGTACAATTTAGGATTAAAGTCATGACTTATTTAGGATTGATGTCACGACTTATTGTACAATTTTGGGTTGATGTCATTACTTACTGTACAATTTTGGTTGATGTCTCGACTTTATTGTACAATTTAGGTTTAAAGTCATGATTTATGTAGGATTGATGTCACGACTTATTGTACAATTTAAGTTTAAAGTCATGACTTATTTACAATGGATGTCACGACTTTTTGTACAATTTTGGGTTGATGTTATGACTTATTGTACAATTTTGGGTTGATGTCATGAGTTATTGTACAATTTTGGGTTGATGTCATGACTCATGGTACAATTTAGGATTGATGTCACGACTTATTTAGGATTAATGTCATGACTTATTGTACAATTTGTTGTTAAAGTCATGCCTAATTGCACAATTTAGGATTAATATATGATGAATTATTGTACTATTTAGGATCTATGTCACGAATTTTTGTACAATTAAGGATGAGTGTCATAACTAATTACTAAATGTTAAGGAGATACACACAATGATAATGTTAAGGAGATGCATATGATAATGTTAAGGAGATACATATGATAATGTTATGGAGGTACACGTAATGATAATGTTTCTCCTGAATTTGACATTTTCACCTGTTTAACTGTCGATCGAAATTTAGTTATGGTTGAAAATGTAATTTTTTATCTTTTTTTTTTTATATCAATTCGATTCGCAAAATAAAAATAAAACTATGTGTTTTATAGATTGTAGTTTTGAGTCTTCCTTAGACATTTATTGTATGTGATTACACTGTCAAATTAAGCAGTTATGTTGTTAAAAACTCAAAATTCATACATAAAGCTGCTATACTGTTCATTTTATCGACATTGAAAGACATCTTAAAAATGGTCCTTACGTGAACTTAATCCCGGGGAAATTAAATTACCTCTTTACGCAGATAAACGCACTAAAACAAAGGACAATAAGACATCGGCCATTAAATTTTATGGTGAAAGTGTTGGTAAATGTTTTTTTTTTAATTCTGAAAAAATCTTTTTCATACCACGCAATATCAAATGATCTATTTTTTTTTATAAAAACCTTAACATTAAATCTAATGGACAAAAACTCTTTAACAGATTTTTTCCTTCTCTTTGATCAAACATTTTTTTCTCAGCCCACCCCCTTTTTTCCCTCAGAGTAAGTCAAATCATAGATGTATACATCTATTGTCATTTTAACTAAATGAGGAAATATTTCTTTTTTTTAACAAAACTTTGCTCCATTCCACATTTCTTTCAAAAATTTAACGAAAGAGTAAATTTATCGTAGATAGCGGAGTCGTGCGAATCGAAATGATGTAACTTTTCAAAAAGGATAGTCAGTAGTTTTCAATTCTTTTGTGACTTTACAATTATACAACAAGGTAACGAGTTCGTTAAATGTAAATCAAACAAAGCAAAATGACAAAGTCCCGCATGTCAACGGTCCAAATGTTTGAACAGTGCATAATAATCCTCTAGCAACACCAAGAGGACTTGAAAGAGTTTAAACTCATATTGTGTCTACTAAATTTTGTGCGGAGATTATCTATACAGCTGTGGTGATCCAACATAATGTCGCTTATTTTAAATGTATATTCTAATAATTTTCAGTGATTGCTGACTTTAAATGTTTTTGTTTATTTGTTCGTTTGTTGTTGTTTTTATTGTGAATTTGAGTTATTTGTTTGTTGTTATATTCATGTCAATCTTACAATTACTTTTATTCACATTTCTGTAACAACAAAATAAACTTACCTTGACAGGGACACAAACTAGCACAAGTAACAGATCAGCACAAGCCAAACTTAAAAGGAACCAGTTAGTAATACTTCTCATCCGAGGAAAGTTAGCGATGGCGAAAACAACCAGAAGGTTTCCAATCAGACCAACTAGTCCAGTTATAGCATAGAAGGTTACTACAGGTATGAACTCCTTCAGTGGTAAGTGGCTGATTGCTTCTTCATAATCATAAGTGTAATTATAGAAAGTATAGTTATAATCATAGTCATCGTCATCGTAGTAGTCCATGGTGCCGTGTCTTCTGAATTCTCTCTAAGTATGTGTTACATAATATATACTTGTTCCCTCATTATAAATCTGTCAATCCTGGAACTCCCGGTAAGATCACATTAGAATTTAATATCTACTTTTAAGTTTGTTTCGAGACATCGAATTCATTATCACTTATCTTGACAGAGCATGTATGTACTGTTTATTTTTTTCTCAAAATTGAATTGACAGAAAGTAGCATTCGGAGTTAGATAAGATTTCCAGAAGTAGTAAAACTTCCAAACACAGAGCAGCTTTGTTACATCAAGGACGACCCCTACAGCGATGTCATCAGTGAGGTCACATCACCGCCCCTGACAGCTCGTTAACATCCAGTTCCTACTACTGTTTTACCTTATCGTGTGACAATCATTTTTCTGATAAGCTAACGTATGGGAAACCATATCGACCAATAGTACGGCTCCTGTGCAGTACAGAAATATATATTGTTTGTAAATCGTTATTATTATCTGAAAAAATAGGTGGAGAAATATTCTGTTATAGATTTTTGATATAAAGATGAATTATAACTTATTTCTCTTCTAATCTCGATGTCGTCATTTTGATATTTCTGTTGATAAAGATAATAAAATTTAGAACTTTAAATTATATCCGTTGTGTGTTCCTCCTTTTTTGAGAATATTCTGACTTTTATCATAACTTTTTGATATAAATCATAGGAGGTTCTTAGTATTTTTGTAATAATACCACGTGCTTCCCTAGTGATAGGAATCTTTTTATCTTTCAGCGACAGATTGTTTATTTTAACTATGATTCAATTATTTCTCTACTCCACATTTCTTCAGTTTATAATTATTTATTTAAAAATCTTTTTCTGTTCTTAGATTATCAGTCTGTGTTGCTTTTATTTTACTTTTATTTTAATTATTATTCTTAGTTACTTCAGTTACTAAACAGTTACACGGCATGAAAGTTGAACTAGATCGGCTTTCATTTTAATGTTTTATGGAGTTATTCAGTTGAAAATAACTTGTCAACACTATGCAGTGATTAAAATGCTAACTGAGTTGCAGTGGTTTTTTCTCTGACAATTTCAATGACTTTTTAAAAGATGGTATGTAGATAAACGTATGGTGCATATTTCAGTACGTACGACACGTTTTCATTAGGTACACTCGAGCTGAGTACTATATAGGGTTATGCATACTGCGACGTCTCCGTGTATCTTTAAGAACGATAATTCTCTTTTTTGTTTCCTTCAAATGGGATCCTCGTGAGTTCTATAAAAACGGCTGGGTGATGAGTAATGATGTAACCACTGTCACTACAATAATGCGACATTTTGACCAAACGTGTTTGAAAAACTTTTAGTCGCATAAGAATTGTCTTGTTTGTGCATTGTGTATAGTTTTGGTGCTTCTATATTCCGATTTTACCACTCTCCCCCACCCCAATAAAAGGTGAATTGTTTTTAACGCATTTCGTTCGAAAATAACCAGACTTGGTCAAATGTTTGAAACTTAAGCCACAACCACCTCTTGCGAGGTTGTGATATAAAAGACATAATATTCTTCCAAGGTTTGAAACTTATTGGCAATAATTTCAAAATTTGAAATTAAAAGGCATAAACTTTTTTCAGGGTTTTACTTTAGTCAAATAGTCATTAACACAAGTAAGATTTCAGTTCAATTTGAGTTGTTCATTGTAATTTGACGTTTTTCTTGGGTTTTTGGTGTTGTGTTTTTTGTTGCTATTATTGATTAAAGGGTGTATAATAAGTTTTTTTTACGCGCGTTCTTATTACCATCTTTTGAATGGTGACTTTGCAATAAACATTTTTGCAAAAAGCAATTAATTTCATATAGTTAATGCTAACTGCGACGTATCTTAAAGAACGATATTTCTCTTTTTTTTCATTTCCTTCAAATGGAATCTTCTCATTAGTTCTATCGAAAAAAACTGCATGGGTGAAGAGTAATGACGTAACTACAGTTGCTACAATAACGCGACATTTTGACCAAACGTGTTTGGGAAAACTTCGTATTTGGAATTATACGAAATCAGAATCAAGATAGAATTTGGAAAACTTTTAGTCGCATGATAATTTCCCTGTTTGTGTATTGTGTTTGAAACTTAACATCTTGTGAGGTTGTGATATAAGAGTCACGCGGGACTATGTCTTTTCAGGTTTGAAACTTTTTGGCAATACATGCTCTCAAAATTTGAAATTAAAAGCCATAATTTGAAATAACTATAGTCAAATATTCGTAAAAACAAGTACGATTTCAGTTCAGTTTGAGTTGTTCATCTCATTTGGCATTCTTTTTGGGGTTTTTTTTCTATATATTTATATGATTTAAAGGGTTATAATACGATGTTTTTCTCGCAAATTTTATTACGATCTTTTGGATGGTGACTTTGCAATAATTGTTTTGCAAAAAAACAATCCATTACATTGAAAGCCTACCTCATCAACATATTATATTCTGCCTCACCCTATTATAGCATATGATATTGAAATCAGACGTTTGATAACAAAAAAGAAAATGATCTTAAAGTTTGTTAGACGAAGCTGCATTTCAAATAATACACGTGAAAACAAATTCAAAATGCAGAAAACAAACTAATAAGCCATCTTTTCTTGATAACATTATCATTTGATAGATTATCAGGTTGAGCTTTTTCTTGTATATTCTTAATATGAAATTCATATTTCATGTAATTTTATGCTTGTTTGTTGATTTATTAGATTAGAAACAAAAACCAAAAAATGTCTAGGTATGTAGTTTACCAGTTAATCCGACAAGAAAAGTATTCAGCATTTTAATTTTATTAATATCATGCTTGAATAAAGTTTAATTTAATTACGTGAACTCCATTGAAAAAAACACACTTTTATTTTCTGACCATACACGTCATCTTAAATGTTAAAAGGAGAAATAAATGTGTTGTAAAAAGAAAATTTCCAGATTTATTGCTTTCGATCTTTGGAATGAACCAGCTTGGGTTATAGTTTATTAAAACATTTATAAACGTGCAACAGTATGCTTGTAAACAAGAGAATTGTAATATATTTATATTTATTATTTCATGGTTTTTGTGGATATAACTGCAGATTTGATATAAAAAAACAAAACAAACATGAGTATCCGTCAATGAGATCATCAATAAAAAATACAATTGAACAAGAAAAGAGACCATACAAATTTCAATACTTCTTCTTCCTAAATAAAGGAGGGTTTTATTTCTTCGTGTGTGTGTGTGTGTGTGTTAATTAAATATCGTTTTTGATGACACAATAGTGTCCTGATCCTTCTTTTCCAAACATATAAATGGAAAATAAGTTACTTTAAACAAGTTAATGCAAAATAATTTACTATATAAACAAGTTAATGCAAAATAATTTACTGGACACAAATAAATGCAAAATAACTAACTATAAACAAGGATTTTGTAGTCTTTTCCGTGACTTAAACTGATTATCGATTACAGGAAACCGCCTTGGTGGTCTCGTGGTAGCGTGTTCGCCTCGAGTGCGGGAGGTCGTGGGTTCGATCTCCGGCCGGGCCAAACCAAAGACTATAAAATTGATATTTGCTGCTTCTCCGCCAAGCACGCGGCATTAAGGAGTAGGAGTAAAGACTGGTCGACTCGGAGTCAGAATAATGTGTCCGGGTTAGGTGATATGTCTTCCTGCGGACTGTTACTTTGTGAACTATCACGTTAAAAATCCGGTTCAGCGTGTCGGTTTAGTACAAAGCAGGGTTCATATTCATATCACATTAACATGTTTTCATCCTGAATATGCATATTTATTTGCCGCTGGACGTTAAGCAGCCATCCATCATCATCATCATCATCAATTACAGAAGGCAACTCACCATTTATGTTTATCGCAAACACAGATTTTTTTGGTCTCTTTCGTTATTACGTTTGAGCACGTTTTAACGTCGCACAAACTCCTTCTAATGCAGTTTACATTTATAGACGACTTCTTAGTGTAACCAAGATTAAAATGTTCACACAAATAAAATTTATCTGTGGTGATAAATTTTACCGTCTACATCGTTCTCAAAAATCAATTAAAGTGTCGACTTATTTTACTACTGTTATACCCTAGATTTCCCCCTCTAATTTTGATTAAAAAAAGAAGAAATACTGAAGTATTTTGACCCTGCAACATGAATTGTACCTGTTCTTAGGCAGGTCGTAAATGGCTGATATTATGTATGCATGGATGTATTTGGTGTTTGGTGTTTTTTTATGACTTGTGATCAAAGACTATGATAATGCTGTTGTCTGAGAATAGGACACCAAGAAAGTATTTCAAGCACAAACAATTAAAAGACCATCAACTTACCGAATTTTACTTGCATGATCAACTAGACGGGGTGGTACAGGAACAGTTAACACTTTCATAGCAATTCATCCCTAGTGTTGTGGGGTTCGTGTTTCTTAATCTCTAAGTTTCTCTTTAATGTTTTCTTATTGTTGTTTGTCCGTTCGTCGAAGATACAGACACTAACTTTTTCAGCTGATAATCTTATTTTTGTCAAGCTTGATTACAATATGAAGCGTACCAAAAGTTAAAAAATGTCCAATATTAAAGTTTGACACCCGAACAGGACATATGACGCCTTTCTCGTTATGCATCCTACAGTTAAACGTGCAAATTTTGGAACTGTTACGAACAACCGTGTGGATTTGTTGTGTAAATGAGGAAAACACGTTGCCAACAAAGAGAAATAAACCGGTAAAGATCTTTGCTATACTTTGTCTAAAATATTACCAACTCAAATCTTAGATATCCTTCATCTATTATATACATAGTCACACCCATTTCTTAGCTATACATCGTCAGATATAAATATCTTCATATTCAGATCTCTACTCTTCGTTGTCTGATGTATACATCGTCACACTCATATCTAAACTACCATTGATCTGATGTATACCTCGTCACATTTAAATTTTAGCAATTATTCGTCTGCTATGTATATATTACCAACTCAGATCTTAAATAGCCTTATTCTGCTATAAACATAGTCACACTCAGATTTTAGCAATTATTCGTCAATGTATACATTACAAACTCAGATCTTAGATATCCTTCGTTTGATATATATATCGTCATACTCAGATCTTATCTATCTTTCGTCTAATATATTTATCGTCACACTCAGATATTAGCTATCCTTTGTCTAATATATTCATCGTCACACTCAGATACTAGATTTCCGTCAGCTGTTATATACATCGTCACGTCAAGATCTTAGCTGTACATTGTCTGATATATCCAACGTCACACTCAGATCTTAGCTATCCATCGTCTGTTATATACATCGTCACACTCATATCTTAGCTATCCTTCGTCAAATTTATACATCGTCACTCCAGATATGAACTATACATCGTCTGAATTAATCATCAACATTCCAAGATCTTGGAGGGGTTTCAAGCCCTTGAATTTAATTTGAGCTTGATG